CCGTTATCACGGTCGACTCTTGAATTGACTTACAAGCGTAGCAGTGATTTCTCTCTATTCGATCGCCCCGATTAAGATTACTTCTCACATAGCAGGAGCGAGCTTAATTGGATACGAAGAATAATATGCCGTTCCTATTTTCACAGACCCCGCTCATACCGTGAAGAAAGATAGAGCCCAACTTGGAAGACTATTGTCGTGGTAGATCGAGCTCGGTGACCGTTCCTATCGCCGTAAAACTACGTTGTGCGCGCGACAACGTGCGTTCCCAACTGGTAAGAGGGAAGTTATTCAAAAATTAAGGGTCCGTGTTAACCCAGTAGCAATACAGAGAAGGTTTTTCAAAAACTGCAAACTCAAGAAAATTTTCCTACACTTGAATGTAAGATATGCACTGTACGGGAAGACAGTAAAGTAATTGGCTCTACTTAAAATAGTTCAAATATTCTTTGCCTTACCGATGCAGTGCGTGCCCACCACACAGAAAGCCAGATGCTGAAGAATGTGCCGACAACCTGAAATGAGGAATGGTTTTGCATCTGAACCATTAACATCACTACTTCTGCTAAAGCAAAAACAACGCAATATTTGTAAATTATACAATGCAGATGGTCACGAAGAGTTCTGTACACGCAAATCAATCAGCTCATCAAAAAGGTCCATAAGAATGTAAGAAATCTTGCCCGCAGTTTCTCCTGGCGGAAATTAATTTTCAGGGAGTTAGCACACCATTACCTCCCACATGATCATATAAATAACCCTGTCAAATGTTACTGCCCCTCATTAAAATTGCGGTTCACGCTGTGTCTGAAACCAAGTACATTTTGGAAGATTATGATGTAGTCCAAAAGCGCACAATCTCTTGTACATTTTGATGTACAACACTTGTGTATTTGCTTCACTCTGGAGCTTACACACTAGCAAAAAAGATTGCTCTGCTACATGAGTGCAAGTTGAGCTCGAAACCGAATGCTTCTGCATCTGCTCGTAGAATCAGTGAAGCCTGGGATGAAGCACAGCATTAGTAAGTTTTGTAAATGTTATTGATGAATGAAAATTCCTGTTTTTGCGATTTAATGGATTGTTGTAGAAAGGCAATTACTTTTACGCCCCCCTTTCTGCGATTTTCTGTTGCGTAGCTACTTTCGTGAAAGTTGTGGATTCGTATATAACTATGCGGCATATTTTTTGCCAAATCAAGTAGGTGGAGTGTCTACCAAGCTTATGACCGGAACCGGAAAAGTGTGTAGAAGATGGCGAGGAAGAAAAGGTCAAAGCTGTTGGTAGGCCGCAAAACTGAGTTGTGCGATAGCACGGCGCTAACTGGTGGAACACAAAATTATCAAAACAAATACGTAGAACATATTAAAAACCCCTGTTTAAAATTGAAAATTGATTTTCGTCCACCCTGTGATGAGGACGTCACTGAGGAAATCAGTGCGAATGCTCTTCAACCAATCCATTTTTAGCAATCTACCGCTCCTTCGTCAACTCATATGATGATGACATATGGATTGGTATCTTACCTATTAGCTTTTGTGTCTTGATTGGGCCTGCCTTAGCTTCAAGTATAGGGGTACGATATGAAGGGATCATATCTACTTTCTTCAAAAAGTGAAGGAGGTCTTACCGATGCCCAGTTTCTATCAGTTTGAGCCAGTGTCTCCACGGACGCTTTATTCTGGCAGTGAAAAAAAGATCACTGGCCACCTGTTCTACAAAACAAAAAGAGCATGAACAATCACTAACTACACCTTGTGTTTTGTTTATATTATATTTTGGCATTGCATCGAATTTCACAGCCAAAATGGAGCACTATTCAAGGGAGTCCATTAGGTAACTTGAAGGGAATAGGCTTTGCCGGTACAACTCACTAGCGTAACGAACACAAATACGCAAGACACGAAAAGAACGAATGTTTCAATAGTACATGAAAATGAAAAGTGCTCACCAAGACCGCTATCCATGCAATTATAGGGTATACAGGCATGTCTGCAAACATGTAGCGCCCAAACTTGACACATATTGCAGCTTCAAGAGCTGTTACCGCGCAGTACACCCAACACTGCATTCCGATTCTTTTCACCAGAGGATCCGTTGCGTATAAGTAAAACTGCCTGGAAATTGAAACAAATAAAGGCACGACTTATTCGTCAAACCGCTGGCCGTCTATGGCTGGACTTGACACCTTAGAAGAGAAGTCGAGCAATCGCAGAACAACAACAAACTTTTACCATGAACATAAAGCACAGATTTGTAAGCTCTTTAAGAGCCCTAAAGCAACAATCCCAGATGAGGTCGTGTCAAAGAATCTGTTCCGTGGGTGGGATAGAATGGCTCACGAGTTCAAGGTGAGCGCCCCAAAGTCCCCGAATGGCGCGGGTCTTACAGAGTCATCTGATGGCTAATAATGCAAACTTACGGACGAGATACTTCGCGCTCGCCCCGTAGCAACGTGGATTGCAACGTAGCGGATAAAACACCCACAGCTAGATTTTTACGGTAGCGTCAACGCATCGATGCAGTTCCGTTGAAAAAAACACGTCTGATCACTCCTTTCCACATCATCATTTTCATTTGGTGTTCTACCAATTTGAACTGAGGTTGTTCCTTTGTTCTTCATGTCCTCAAACTTCAGGGTTGTGTACTGTCAAATTGTGGCGCAACTGATACAATTTACAGATCTGTTTTTATCTGAAACGTGACAACTAACCAGCCCATAAATCTAAATGATTATTAGCTTGCATACCAAGTGCGCCACCATATGGCACATGATTTCTGGATTGATTCTCTTCACGGCGATTGTCGTTTTTTATTCCGTGCTTGCGTATAAATATTAACCAACGGCCATACTTTATGAGAAACAGCAAAAATTGTATTCGTTACCTGATTGAAGGCGCAGAGATAAGGGCGATAAGAATGATCCGCCAAAACACCACCGAATGTTTTGTGTCCACTGCGAACACGTGTTTCAAGAAAAACGTGTTTAATTCTGTGAGCTGAAATATATCAGTGCGCATGGTGAAAAAGTAACGTATTGTAAACTATAAGGGATCGCTAAATCGCTAAAGACAGGAGGAAATGGAATTATTAGCTATAAAAAATAATAACAGCTTTCAAATTTTAGTATGGTGTTGCCCCGAAGTTTCACAAGGATCTCAGTATTGAACAAAAGTTTGAGGCTTTGTGAACGCAATCATTTTGGGAAGGCTTTGAAATTAGGTCTTTTGAAGCTTCCTACTACATATAATTCGCTAACCAGGAAAGGTCATTTGGTCAACCCGGTCATTTGAAATGAGATGTATACATGTATACGCATATTGGGATGCTGAGCTCAATTGTGTGTTCCTCATCTGCTGAACTCTCACTCTGCTAGGAATTATGAAGCAAAAAGCGCAGGGGCTGTCGGTAGTGTGCGGAGCTAAACTGGTTCTGAAAATAAATTTGGAGCCTCGAGCTATTGTTTAACATCCAGTTTTCAAATTGATGATGTCCAATTCCTACGGATCCATGGATAGCTATTTCGACGCTATTTAAGAAAGACATGCGCAGGCCGATGACCCTGAACGTACATACTTTCACACTCCTCCTGGGTGGTATTACGCCAAAGGGAGCAGGCATCACGTCGCTGCACGCTTGGGACCACATTTCAGCGCAACGCCGCAATCGGTATGTATTAATTCCCAACAAGCCGATAGGGGGAAAGATGGTCACACGCTGTTCACACATTCATGTGCCTGCTCCCTTTGGCGTAATACCACTCAGGAAGAGTGTGAAAGTATGTACGTTCAGGGTCATCGGCCTGCGCATGTCTTCTTAAATAGCGTCGAAATAGCTATCCATGGATCCGTAGGAATTGGACATCATCAATTTGAAAACTGGATGTTAAACAATAGCTCGAGGCTCCAAAATTTTTTCAGAACCAGTTTAGCTCCGCACACTACCGACAGCCCCTGCGCTTTTTGCTCCATAATTCCTAGCAGTGAGAGTTCAGCAGATGAGGAACACACAATTGAGCTCAGCATCCCAATATGCGTATACATGTATACATCTCATTTCAAATGACCGGGTTGACCAAATGACCTTTCCTGGTTAGCGAATTATATGTAGTAGGAAGCTTCAAAAAGGCCTAATCTCAAAAGCTTCCCAAAATAATGATTGCGCTTCACAAAGCCTCAAACTTTGTTCATAGTTCAATACTGAGATCCTTGTGAAACTTCGGTGCAACACCATACTAAAATTTGAAAGCTGTTATTATTCTTTATAGCCATGCTGAAACCAGGCAAGGAAGGGGTTACATTTGTCGGGTTCTGGGCAGTTTCTCATAATTTTTTCTTCATCCCTGCGTTCCACCTTTACCCCTATTTCTGATGAGCTGCCTTTTCATAGTAAAATCTTATAATTGGTGATTTGAGCGAACTATGTTGCTAGTAGAGGCATCGTTCGTTTTCATTCCAGAAGTATGTTCTAACTTGTCCATTAATGCGCTATCAATCGAAGCGTGATGTTTGCTGGCATGATACCGACTATTGTGGTAACAATTCCAAACGACCTCATTCCTGCTCGCCGCTCATCCATCCTATTTGAAACCCCACATCCCCTGTGAATGCGCCCAGAACTTATTGCTATCGCTGCCTTCAAAGGCAGACTCCGGCCTTAGCCTTACACAAGTAGTCGTTTCCCTAGGAAGTGGTGTGTAGTCCGTCACCAAAGGTCGCGCCACTTCTGCACATCAAAGGCACACTCTGTCACCAAAGCGCTAGGCGCATAGGACTTTGATCGAATCCCACCAAAAGTATTGGGATCCGCCCATTGTTCGATATCTTATCTGCGTTGCAATCTTGATCTGCCACATAATCGGACTTCCCTAACGCTTTCCGCGACTCACATTATCTCATATCTCCGTACCTGCCTCTTGGACTTCTCCGCATCGTAGAGCAAGGAGGCTTGTACTAAGTGTGTATTTAACGATTTTCTTCCCTTTTTTATCCACTGGCAGTCACCCCGATCCCACCTCCATATTTGAGTGGGACCACCACCCACATCAGTTTAATCGTATTCCTTGTCTTTAACCCATTGCGGACCGCCGTTATAATTGCACCTCCGTAGGTTTTTGTCATCTGTTTAATCAGTGGCCAATGACCTATCAAAAATTTAACCAGTATGCAATAAGTGATATATCCTGTGTCCAAAAAAGTAAACTGATGAGTTTGTAACTTAACAAAATGCTGAAAAAATCAAAGATTACTGTCCTTCTCCGCGTGGTGGCGTGCTGCACCATGTGCAGCACGCGGTCCGCAATGGGTTAAGATCATTCCCATGATGGATCACTCAGCCTACACATCCACCTCGTTCCTGCTCCGATTTGCATCGTCA